AGCCTCTAATCAGTGGTTAGTACAGAGTTACCTTCACCTCTAGTATTCCCACTGTTCGTCCTTATGTACTTCATGTGCCATCTGCAAATGAATAATGTCCTTATTGGTTCACTAAAAACGCCCCCCGTTTTCCATCCTTCCCTCTGCCTGTACCCAACATTCCAATGAATGACAGGCCTGAGGCATTCGCAGAAGCAACAGCAAAAGACAGAGCTACCACAGCCACGTCAGCACTGTTGGAGCAAAGCCAACTGCAGGGGCAGCAGGAGCAGCATCAGCAAGGTGGAGAGCTCGCCTCAACCAGAGGGGAAGGGGATGTTTTGCCAAGCTCCCAAGGCACTGCAGAGGAGGGAGCAGAGGAGCAGAGGCGAAGTACGGCAAGAGTCGATGGGCATGTGAACCAGGAGGGAGAGGTGGAGGAAGAGGAGGGTGAAGATGAGGATGATGGATTGCCTCCTTTGGAGAGGAATCCGAACCACCGATCGATGTTTGTTGAGGATGTATCAGATGACGATAGTGAGGACGAGGAGTAATCCATGTCCAAACCTTCTAGTCTAGTGTCATTGTCTTTCCACATCCCTCTGAAGTTGGAAAAGCGAAAGAGGAACGATAGTTTCAAAGGGGGCTACGGCAATCCGAAAACATGAGCAATAGATGGTATAAGGGTGGAAATAGGACAGGTCGGGTTTTGCCCCTTCGCAGTCCGTGCTTGTAGGCCTTGCCCTCTGATCTAGATTTTTTGTTACCATATGAATGCTAAGGTTGAAATAGCTAAGGTTGAATTCGTGAGTTCCCAGCATTCAATCGGATGGAACTCAGCTTCTGCGATAGGGAGTACAGATTCAGTTTCTTCACCACCTTCTCGTCAATCCCTAGAGCAATGACAGGCCGCCACTTAGGGGGTGTGTAAAGTGGGAATGGAGGCTCCGCCCATTCCACACTCCGATTTATATGCCCGCCTGAAATTGTAGGCCAATCAGATGCACGAAATCTGCGTGTTAAAAAAATGTAGATTCGCGCAAAACATTTTGTGCAAACACCTTCACGCACGATGGAAAACATTTTGGCCGCTCGTTGTGCATGTACCAGAACAACTCTGCGCGAAAGGGCAAAACGCGTTTCGCCAATCTCAACGCAGCTGCGAAGTGGCCAGCTCGGCCAGCACGGAATGAATGCGCCTCGCGCGGGCGAATTTTGCGAAAATTTCCGTCGTTAGTTACAGAGTCGAACGTCAAAATTGAAAGTTTCAGCTGCATGGGTTTCCTGCGGGCCGTAGCGTAGTCTCCAAGCTTTTGTTGCTTCGGGAAACAAACCGAACGGCAGAAAATACGGAGTTTGGGAACGGAGCGGAGCCTCCGTTCCCACTTAACACACCCCTTATTTGAGCCACGAGGGCCCAGAACCAGCCGCCATTCATCCCATCATCCCATATCCTGGTTCGCGAATCCATCTCCAAATTGGTCTCATGGACTTGTGTAGCGAGCGTTTGACGAAACCATTCGTCAATGACTACGGGTAGACGCGGTGGTAACAGCTTGTCGCAGCCCTGTCCGTTTTGAGACGGAGAAAAAAGGGCGGAATCGGGTGAGGCGCCTCGAAATCGCACGAAACTGGAAATCCAGCTAGAGCCGCCTCGGGAATCCCGCACATGGCGATGTCATCCCTTCATCCCCGCGGATTTCGTCTGACGCGGCGTGCCACCACTGTGGCCACCGAGGCACACCGACTTCGAAACCCCAACTCTCAGTTAGCGAAGGTACGAAACACTAACACGGGCAGCATGGATTTGTTGACGTGGCTGGCCAATTCCCCGTGGTTTTTCTGCCCAGAATTTCCGGTAATCCCGTTCCTGCCCTAACCGAAATTCTTGTTCAGATTTCCACACCCACAGCCTCTCTCCCCTCTATGGGCTCTCTCCACAACCACTCCTCTCCCCTCGACTCCTCTAGCTCTAAACGCGTACATAATCCGAGTAGATCATTACATTTTCTTCACCAGTTTCTTGCTCTGCAGTAGTTCCGCTCTCTCCATCACTCTCTCGTTTCGTAGTCCTGAGCTCACGCGTTTACTCTCATCAGACGCTCTTTAACCTGCTCTAGAGACCTTCTCCAGCAGCTCTTTAAACTGCGTCGTAGTAACAGCCGTCTCACGTCGTCACCAGCACTTACGATGGCGACAAACTCGGCGCTGAACGTCAACCAGACCGCCATCTACGACCGACGACCGAACTCCGACACCAGGAGGCTCCGTACGACCACGCAAGGCTTCAGTGCGTTCTTCGCTGCGTTAAAGATTGGTAGATTCGAAAAGGACGCCAAGGACCCGCAGGGCAGGTCCTTCCGTCGGCCACTTGGATTCTCTCCCCTGCGTCCAGCGGCTGTGAGTCCAGCAAAGAAGGCTGCTGCTCAAGTCGCTAGCGAGCTGCCACAGAAGCAACAACAGACGACAATACAGCAGAAGGTCAAGCAACGGTCTCAAAAAATGGTTTCGCTGTCTGCGATTTCAAGCATGCCTTCAAGAATCCCAAAGCCTGTGAGCTCAAGAACGGCTTTAATGGTTCCTGAGGCGAGATCTACCAGCAGCAGCAGGGGAATAAGAGGACTGATGCTGAAGGCTCTGTTGCAGAGAAGGGGTCTTCAAAGTTGCTGCAAATGAAGCTGATGTTTGAAGTTTCCAGAATGACCCAGACGAGAATTCCGGTTCATGTTGCTGCTGTTGCTGCGTGATTGAAGAACTGCGGATTTCATATGCGCAGCAGAAGCTTCTGTTAGCTTATTTATTGTAGAGTTCAACTGGTTGTTGAAACTAGGTTTTGGTCCCTTGTACTATAAGTTACAATAATGCATGTGTGCTGTTCCTATGTTGAATCGTGTATGATGACTACCATTACTTGCAGGCTATACCACTGAAGCAAGCCTTTGATTATCAACTATGCCCTTTCCATCTCCCCCTCTCCCCTCTCTCCATGTATCTTCTCTTTGACTCTCTTCTCCAGACTGTCTGAACCCACTCCCTCTCACTACTTTTGATTTTTATGTAGCCATCTTCCTTCCTTCGTTTTTCTCTCCCAGCTTCCTCTCTCCTTGTGTGCTCCTCTGCCTCTTCCCCGCCCACCGCTCCACTCTCTCGCTCATACCCTCGCCCTGCTGTCAATCATGTCCTTGCTGTTTTTCCCTGCCAAGATCACCACCCTCCCCCTTTCCCCAAACGTACCCCCTCCCTTTTTCAACCCAGTTCGCCTTCATCATTTCTCAACCTTGCCTCTTCTCTAGCCTGTTTGCTGTCTCATCCTGCTCTCACTTCTCCCTATTTTGGCCTTGTCTTGCCACTCACCCTTCTCCTGACCCACTCAAGTCAAGCAGGTGTTGTATTGTAATGAAGGGGCCAAGGCTGGTTCGCAGTTTCTCATCTCCCAGCACCTATTTCTTTCTTCATCTCTGTTGTTTCTGACACCTTGCTTGTTTGATTTCCCTCCATTATCTCACCTTCTCTTTCATTCTTCCTTGCTGACCCGAAAGTGAATGACCCGGAGCTGACCACGTCTGTGGCATCTCCCTTCTGTACCTTTCAGGACACCTCGAAGTGACATTCGGGCAACGTGTGGGTCAGATGCTAAACTCCCTCACCAAGAAGTGACCTGCAACCTGACTCGGGATTGACACCGACCCCGAAGTCACCTGTGGGCTCATCATATACTGCAGACTCGGGTTCAATACCCACCGGCATCAAATGTCCCAGATGGGGCATCGCAATAAATCACCTTTTCTCATCGCAAATAGATTTTTTGTATCATCACTTCGTAGGAAAGGCAGTCATGGGAAAATTTGTTAGAAAGATGTTGGGCTGATAAAAGCCCTTGGGATCTTTTTCAGAGACTAAGTCCCAGCTGTAGAGACTTGAGACCTTGAGTAGTGCAGCGGAAGTTTGAGACAGTTGAACCCTTGTACTAGTATGTGAGAACAAGTGATTGATTAAAGAAACAAGCATACAGCAATATATAGAAGATAAGAAAGCAGTTGTAGAGTACCGTTACAGGAACGGTTTATCGAGTCGCACAGCGACTCGATTGCCGCTTCGGTTACCATCCGTGATGTTGTAACGGTCAGTCGCAACCTCCAGTTGTGACCTTTCGAGTCTTTTCGCATTCTTTGTCCGTCCCCTCATGTAACCTCCGTTGACTCGCGTGCTCCCCTGTAGTCTTCCTCGAGTGCAGTGTTACACTTCAGAAACGCTTAAGTCCTTTGAGATATTTCCAACACTCCCCTTCGTTTCTGGAGTGTTGACGTGTTCGGGTCCGGTGACGTTTGTTTGCCCGGTCAGGAGCATGCAGTAGTCGAATTTTGCTTTCGCCAATTTCTTCGTCAGATAATCTGCGGCCATTTCTGTCGTCGGGCAGTAACTGAGTTGAAGTCTCCCCTTCGCGATTTCATCCTTGACGAAGAAGTACCGCAGGGCGATTGTCAACTTATACATATTATCTATGTAGAAGTTATAGGCTAGACTGAGGTATGCTTCTAGTGAGTACAACCAACTAGTATTTGTTCTAGGTTTCCACCTCTAGTAATCATTCGTTTCTACGTTAACATGGTATCACGCTTAGGTTAGGATCCCCCCGCCTACCGCTTCCGCCCGTCGCGCCTCCTAGGCCCCGTCGCGCCCCCTAGGCCCCGTCGCGCCCCCCTGGGCCCCGTCGCGCTCGTTAGGCCCCGTCGCGCCCCCCCTGGGCCCCGTCGCGCCCGTTAGGCCCCGTCGCGGCCCCCCTGGGCCCCGTCGTGCCCGCTGGTCCCCGTCGCGCCTCCTCGGCCCCGTCGCGCCCCCCCTGGGCCCCGTCGTGCCCGCTGGGCCCCGTCGCGCCCCTTAGGCCCCGTCGCGCCCGCTGGCCCCTGTCGCGCCTGCTGTTAGCGCTCGCCCGCCTGGCCTTTTCCTAGTGCCGCTCGGCCTCCTCCTAGTGCCGCCCGGCCTCCTCCTAGTGCCGCCCGGCCCCTTCCTAGCGCCGCCCGGCCTCTCCTCAGCGCTGCCCGGCCCCTCCTCGTGCCCGACCGGCCCCAGCAGCACCAGCCTGGCCCCTCCCAGCACCAGCCCGGCCCCAGAGCACCTGCCCGCCTCCCCTGCTCGGCCTGCCGTGTCCTCTCGGGCCCTGTGTCTTCTGCTTGCCTGCGCTGGGACGCCTAGCTGCTGCCCTACTGGAGAGTGCTGCCGCCGTGTCCCCGCGCCGCTGTGCTCCTGTGCCGCTGAGGAGCTGTGCTGCTGTGCCGCTGTGTCGCTGAGGAGCTGTGCCGCTGACCCTGCACGATGGCTGACTTTGTGCTCCGCCTGGACGCTGAGGGCCACGCGGTTGACTTCGCCGCCTGGCTCTCCGATCTTCGCCGCCAGCTTACAGGTCAGCGCCAGGATGGCCACTCTCTGGTTGTCCATGCTGATGGCTTGCTCCCCCGTCCCCCTGCACCTACTCCCCTCCCTGCTGACCCCTCCTCTGATGACCGTGAGGCTTTCTCTACTGCTGCGCTGGCCTGTGCGATCTGGGACTCACGCGATGCAGTAGCTCAGGTTGCTATTAGTCACGCCCTCCCTGTGTCTGAGCGCTCGCGTTTTGCTACTGTTGAAACGGCCAAAGCTTATTTAGACGCCGTTATTGCTCGCTATTCCACCCCTGCCTCCGCTTCTGCTGGCCGCTTGCTCTTTCCGATGCTGTTCCCAGACCTGGCTGCCTTCCCTACTGTCGCAGATTTTGCCACTCATTTGCGTGCCCTAGAGACTCGCTATCGCACTGCCAGCACTGCTGCCCAGCTCACTGCGCTCCCCCCTCCTTTCTGCATGACGCTCTATTTTATCGCTATGCGCCTGCCAGACCGCCTCGCTAGTGCTCGCGACCACTTTCTTAGCCAGCACCCGGGTGACCTCACCCTGACCGCCTTTGTCGACACCCTCACTGAGATCGAGACTCGCCAGCGCACTATCGCTCAGTCGAGCGGTGCGCCGCCAGTCTCTATCTTTCACGGCTGTGCCCCATCCCCGTGCACGTTCACTGACGTTTCGGCTGCGGTCGCCACGGCGACCCCTCTTACCGAGACGGCTGCTGCTGTCCACCCGCAGCAGCGCTCGCGTCGCGGTGGCCGTGGCCGCCAGGGAGGTAGGGGTGGTGACGCAGGTGGTAGTGGTCGTGGTGGTGGTGACGGTAGTCCGCCTGAGGGGACTACCACCGGTGGGCAGGAGCAGCAGTCCCAGCAGCAGCAGGACCAGCCCCAGCCGCAGCCGCCGTCCCAGCAGCACCCGCCGCAGCCGTGGGCTCGTCTCCCGCCTGGTTGGCCCGGCACCTCCGGAGGCGGTGGCCGTGGTGGCGGCCCGCGCAGCTTGGCGTCTACCAGCGGCTCCAGTGCTGTGACCTGCCAGTACCAGCTTCAGACCGGGCCTCTCCGCGGCACTCTGTGCCGCCGCCCGCACCCGACCGCCCGCTGTTTCCGCCGCCTCGACGATCTTTTTCGTCGTCGCTTTGGCCCGGCCCCGGACCTCCCTGACTGGCACAGCCTGCTCCGCCAGGGCGTGCCGATCTTTGAGTTAGACATGGATCAGATAGGTGCTGCTTTGCATGCTTTGTATGCTGACGCTTCTAGTGTTGATGGATCTTACTACCCTGTGTACTCTAGTTTAGGTGTTTCACCCTTGTGTAGCTTAGCTTCCCCTGCTGCGACAGGCGTAGGACTGCCTAGGTTGCCTAGTCTAGTCGCTGCACCGGCTCCGTCCCCGGCCCCCGCCACTGCGTCGCTGTCCTTCACTCTCGACTCTGGTGCTTCTGCCTGCTTCTTCCGCGACCGTTCCACGCTCACGCCGCTTGCTGCACCTGCTGTTGTCTCTCTCGCTGACCCCTCTGCGGGTCCGGTCGTCGCGCGCAGTTCTACGTCCCTTCCCTGTCCGGCAGTTCCCTCGGGCTCCCTTACTGGCCTCCACGTTCCCTCGTTCTCCAGGAACCTGGTTGGTGTCGGCTGTCTCCAGGACCTCGGCGTCACCACCACGTTCCCCGGGCACGAGCGGTTCGCTGTCTGTTCTGAGGCTGTCTCAGGTTCCCCCCTTGCGACGTTCCCCCGGGACCCGGTGTCCGGTCTGTTTACCCTACACACCGCTTCCCCCCCGGTTGGTGCGTCCTCCCAGGTCGCTGCAGCTTGCTCGTGTCGGTCCCTCACTCACCCCTCCCTTCTCTGGCACCACCGCTTAGGTCACCCTGCTCTCCCGCGTCTGCGTCACATGTCCCAGCACGGTCTTGTCTTAGGTCTCCCCGCGTCGCTCCCTGCCCTTCCTCCCTCGACTGCGCCACCGTGCACGCCTTGCGTCGAGGGTCGGCTCCGCCGTGCTCCTCACTCCTCCTCGCTGCGTCCTGCTACTGCCCCCCTTCAGACCCTGCACTTGGACGTTTGGGGCCCTGCCCCCGTCCCCGGACCGCGCGGTGAGCGCTACTTCCTTGTGCTTGTCGACGACTACACGCGCTACACCACGGTGTTTCCCCTGGAGCGGAAGGCCGACGTGCCCGACGTTCTTCTCCCGTGGGTTGTGGCTGCGCGTCTCCACCGCGGTCTCCCCGTGTTGTGTCTCCACTCCGACCGTGGCGGCGAGTTCGCCTCTGGTCGGCTTGGACAGTTCTGTCGTGCGGAGGGCATCACCCAGTCGTACACGTTGCCGGACTCGCCACAGCAGAATGGGGTTGCTGAGCGCCGCATCGGCTTGGTCATGGAGGTCGCCCGTACCTCCATGATCCATGCCGATGCCCCCCATTTTCTGTGGCCGTTCGCTGTTCGCTACGCGGCTCACCAGCTTAACCTGTGGCCACGCTCCCAGCGGCCGCAGGTTTCGCCGACCCTCCTTTGGACCGGGTCCCCCGGTGACGCGTCTGCGTTCCACGTCTGGGGCTGCCTTGCTCACATTCGTGCCTCTGGCACGGACAAGCTCACTGCCCGCACTGTCCCCTGTGTCTTCCTCGGTTTCCCCCTGGACTCGTCTGACTGGCTTTTCTACCACCCGCCGTCTCACCGCTTCCTCCACTCTCGTGACGTCACCTTTGATGAGTCCGTCTCCTTCTACCGCCGCTTCCCTCACCGAGGTCTCCCAGTTGCCCCCCCCTTTTCCTTGCTCCCTCTCCCCCGGTAGCCCCTGCCCCTCTCCCGCCTCGTCCTGCCCCGTCTGGTGTCTCCCACGTCACTCCCCTCCCGTCGGTTGTCCCCGTTGAGGAGTCTGCTGACTCTGGTGGTACCCCCGGTCCGTCCTTGCCGCGTCCCCCTTCCCCGGTGCCTCCGCCCCCACTGTCGCAGTCGCCGACCCCGCTGCCGCCGCCGTCGCCGTCGCCGCCGCAGCCGTCGCCGCTGTCGTCGCCGCCGCCGCCGCTGTCGCTGCCGCAGCCGTCGCCGCTGTCGCCGCCGCCGCAGCCGTTGCCGCCACTGCCGCCGCTGCTCTCGGCCCCTGGGGGTGCTGGTGTGGAGGAGGGTGTTCGTCCTGCGGCTTCTGGGGGTGCCGCTGGTGTTGGAGGGGGTTCTCGCTCTGGGGGTGTTGGTTCTGGGGGTGCTGCTGTTGAGTGTTCTGCCGACGGTCGTTCTGCCTCTGCTGGTCCGAGAGTTCCGGCCCAGCCGTCGTCGCCGCCGCAGCAGCCGTCGCCGCCGGTTTCCGCTCTCCGCCTGCTCGGCCTTCCCTCCCCGGACCGCGCGCCGGTGTCTCCCCCACCGCCTCCTGACCTCCCTGTCTACGGTCCTGTGTTCCCGCCGCCAGACTCGTCTCCGGCCCGTCTTCCTCCTCGTTCCCCTCCTGTGTCTCCTCCGCTGTCCCCTGACCCTACCCCTCCGTCTCACGTTTGGGCTCGCCGTCCCTCCCGTGCTCGTCCCGTCTCTCCTGTCCTGCCCACCCACCCTATGTTGCTCCGTTCCCACTCGTCTCGTCCTCCCCTCCTCCCGTCCCCTCCTCCCTCGTCCCTTGCTGTTGCACCTCCTCCGTTCTCTGACTACCTCCGTGCTGCTCGTCCCCTTGTCCCTCGGGTCCTTGCCTCTCTTGTTACCGACCCTGCTGTTCCTGTCTCGCGCCTTGACGCGCTTGTCGCTGCTGTCGCTGACTTCGCTTCTACCCGCCGCCTTGACTACGCTACCGCTCTGGTCTCTGACCCTGCCCGTCCTCTGTCCGTCGGGGGTGCTCCTGCCCTTGGCAGTGACGTCCTAGAGGACAGGCAGTACGAGCTGGCTTTCCTTTCCGAGGCTGCTCCCCATCTCTGCTCCATGCTGTTAGTCCCTGAGGGTGACCCAGACGCCTTCGACATCCCGACCCCTCGCACCTATGCTGAGGCCACCTCGGGACCTTGGGCCTCTCAGTGGATAGCTGCCATGGAGCAGGAGATGGCATCTTGGAGATCCACCGGCACTTACGTCGACGCAGTTCCCCCGCCTGGGGTGAACGTAGTCGATGGTCGGTGGCTCTTCAAGGTGAAGCGCCCCCCTGGAGAGCCGCCTGTCTTCAAGGCGCGCTACGTGGCCAGAGGTTTCAGTCAGCGCGAGGGGGTTGACTTCTTCCAGACCTTCGCCCCGACCCCGAAGATGACCACTCTTCGGGCGCTGCTACACGTAGCAGCACAGCGTGACTACGAGCTTCACTCCCTCGACTTCTCTACTGCCTTTCTTCAGGGCAGCCTACACGAGCAGGTCTACCTGCGCCGACCACAGGGCTTCACTGGTACCTTCCCTCCTGGGACCCAGTGGCTTCTCAGGCGCCCGGTCTACGGCCTGCGTCAGGCTCCCCGCGAGTGGCACGACACGCTACGTGCCACGTTAGCAGACCTGCAGTTCTTTCCGTCCTCTGCTGACCCTTCACTGTTTGTGCGTTCCGGCCAGACTCCGTTCTACATCCTTGTCTACGTAGACGACCTGGTCTTCGCTACTCCTGACAGGGACGCACTGGCCTCTGTGAAGGCTGAGCTGCTGAAGAGACACACCTGCACTGACCTTGGAGAGCTGCGTCGCTATCTTGGCCTGCAGATCTCTAGGGACAGAGCAGCACGCACCATCACTCTGACCCAGTCACACTTGGTGCGTCAGGTCCTTCAGAGGTTCGGTCTTCAGTTCTCCTCCGCACAGCCCACACCTCTACCCGTAGACCATGGGCTCTCTGCTCCCGTTCCTGAGGAGCCAGTAGAGCCCAGTGGCCCCTACGCAGAGCTGGTGGGTTGCCTCATGTACCTGATGACTTGCACTCGCCCAGATCTCGCATACCCTCTCAGCATCCTGGCTCGCTTTGTGGCTACAGGCAGACACCGACCTCAGCACTGGTCTGCCGCTAAGAGGGTTTTGCGTTATCTTGCTAGTACATCAGGCATGGGGTTAGTGCTAGGAGGACGCAGGCCAGTGGTCCTTACTGGGCACACAGACGCTTCTTGGGCAGACGACGCTGAGACGCTCAGGTCGTCGCAGGGCTACTGTTTCAGCCTTGGTTCGGGTGCTATCTCTTGGAGATCCACTCGCTCGTCGTCTGTGGCTCAGTCTAGCTGTGAGGCTGAGATCTACGCTGGTGCCATGGCGGCACAGGAGCTCCGCTGGCTGACCTTCTTGCTCACAGACTTAGGTGAGCGGCCTAGCTCTGCCCCGGTCCTGTACGCTGACAACAGGGCCATGATACTCCTGTGTCAGGAGCCTCGGCTTGAGGGCAGAGCGAAGCATATCCAGCTGCGGTACTTCCTCCTGCGCGAGCTACAGCAGCGCCGCCAGGCCCGCGTAGTTCACTTGGCCTCAGGTGCCAACACAGCTGATATCTTTACTAAGGCGCTTGCGCCTAAAGATCATCAGCGGCACTGTGTACAGCTTGGTCTTGTTCCTATAGCTGCTCCCCTGTTAGGATCCTGATTGTGTACTCTCTATTATATATGCTTGTCAGACTGGCCTTGTGGCCTTACCTCCAGTGGCTGGACTAGTAGTGCCACCCTGGCTTGCTTCAGTTTTGGTTGTATTCTTGCTGACTGGTCTCCAGACCCCTGCCTCAGTGGTTGGACTAGTAGTGCCGCCCTGAGCTGTTTGCTTCTTGTTTAGTTTCACCCCTTGTCTAGCCTAGGGGGTGTGTCAACTTATACATATTATCTATGTAGAAGTTATAGGCTAGACTGAGGTATGCTTCTAGTGAGTACAACCAACTAGTATTTGTTCTAGGTTTCCACCTCTAGTAATCATTCGTTTCTACGTTAACAGCGATGTGCTTAGTTCGGTTGGCGAAGCCGTCCTTGTTCGCGATTTTGATCGCAGATTGGTTGTCGCAGAGGAGTGAGAAGGCGGGCAGGGTCGCAATCTTCGCTTCCTCGAGTAACTCTCGTAGGTAGAGTCCTTCCTTGGTCGCAGTACAGAGGGCGATATATTCTGCTTCAGCCGATGATAGTGCGATTAACTCCTGCTTGCTCGACTGCCAGGAGATAGTTCCGATAGGTTCTAGTCGGTAGATGTAGCCCGTCCTAGATCGTCGATTTTCCCTGTCTCCCGCGTGGTCGGCGTCGACGTATCCGAGTAGTCGTACGGACGGTGTTGTTGCCTTGCTGTAGGTGAGCCCGATCGTCGGCGTGGAGACGAAGTAGAGTAGCGCCCGATTGAGCTCTTCGAGATCTTCCTGTTCCGGCTGCTTCAGATGCGTCGCCAATTGACTCGCACTATAGGACAGGTCGGGTCGGCAGGTTACTGCTGCGAATAGTAGGCAGCCGAGCTTCTGTTGATACTCCTGGATTTGCTTCGCGGGGAGTTTTGCGGAGGCGCTGTTGTTGTTCCCGTAGCGGTAGGGAGTTGGGACCGCAGTCGGTGTTAGACCGAATTTCTTCGCGACGGTGCCTGAGTACTTTCCAGCGTGTAGGTAGAACGCCGTGTCGTCTTCGACGACATTCAGTCCTAGGTACTGAGTAACTTCGTCGGACACCGTAAGTGTTAAGTCTTCTTTCAACTTCCCTTCGAACCAGGTGGCGATGTCGGTAGTGGAGCCGATGTAGAGCAGGTCGTCGACGTAGACGATGAGTAGGACATACTCTCTTCCCTTCTGCAGTTGGTACATCCCTTGGTCATGCGGCAGTTGTAGGAATCCGATTTTTGCGAGACGGCCGTGAAGGTGCTGCTGCCAGAGCCGCGGGGCTTGCTTGATCCCGTATAGGGATTTTGTCAGTCGGCATACTTTCGTGGGGTCGTCGATGAATCCGTGGGGTTGTTCGACGAAAATCTCAGCGTCCACAGGTGCGTATAGGAACGCATTGGCGACGTCGATTTGGCGTAGTGGTAGTGTCTTCGTGGCCGCGACGGGAGTAGGATGCGTAATGAGGTGTGACGGGAGACTGGAGCGAAGGTTTCTGTGTAGTCAGTTCCGTATCGTTGATCGAAGCCTCGTACGACCCATCGAGCTTTGAATCGTTCGATGGAGCCGTCTGAGTTGGTCTTGATGCGGTACACCCATTTCCCCGAGAGGACGTTCTTCCCGTTGATGCTTGTTGCAGGTACCAGTTTCCATGTTTCTCGGTCTTGCAGGCCTTTAACTCCTTTTCCATCGCTTCTTTCCATTTTGCCTTATGTTCCCCCCCCAGAGCCTGCGACAAGGTCGAAGGCTCACGCGGAGAAGGCGGCGGCGGATGCTGGACGGAGACCCAGAGGCCTAGAATCTGCAGTCCCGTGGGTGTGTGTCGAGGGGAATTTTCATTCCCGAATAAGCTGCTTCGTCACCGTCTTCTGGGTCAGGTAAGAAGTTGGGACCGATGCGTTCTGAAACATTTGTGTCACTGGGTGGGGTGTAATGTAACCTTGGTCAGCGAAGTGGTAAAAGGTGTCGAGGTTGTTGCTATCGAGAGGATTGTCGTCGTCGAGTGGAACAGATACGGAACAGAATGGGAGTGGTCCGGCAGTTTCCGAGGCTCCAGGTACGTCTTCTTCTGCCGCGTCAGCTTCGGCAGCACGATCGGCGAAGGAACGAAGTCCCGAGAAGCCGTCGGTGGGGTCTTGTGTGTTGGCGATGTTGTCCAGGTAATGCTGCAGCGTCAGTCGCTCGTAGAAGATAACATCACGTGATGCCACCGTATTTTTGTCTTGTATGTCGAGAATTTTCCATGCGTGAAAATGTTTGGCGATGCCGAGGTGTAGTCCCCACCGAGCTCGTTGTGTGAAGCGTCCTGCTCGGGCTGTGTGGGGTCTGTACTGTACCATGCAGCCGAAAACTCGGAGTAATTTTGTGCTGCCCCTTTTTCTTGTCCACAACAGGTGCGGTGATGCGTTGTTGGGAAGTGATGACGAGGACAACAGGTTGTGCAGGTGAACTGCATGTGTCATCGCATCTGGCCACAGTGTGGTGGGCAGCCTCATCCCCAGAAGCAGTTTTCGCATCGTCGTCTGCAAGGTCCGATTCATGCGTTCTGCGACCCCCTGCTGTTGGTGAGCATAGGGCAGGGACACCAGGCGTCTGATTCCTCTTTCCGCCAGATAGGTCCTGAAGCGTTGTGACTGGTATTCCAGTGCACCGTCTGACTGGAAGCTCTTGAGTTGGTCCCGATTCTCGTTCGGCGATGGGAAGCCATGTTCTGAAGGCTTCGAAAGCTT